CCCCAAAACCCCAAAACCCCAAAACCCCATTCATATATCCTTAAAAACGTAGTCAATATTTATTTTAAAGAATTAAATAAATTCTTATTTAAACTAAATTAAGACAAAATGACAGATTTACCTGCAATTATCCAGGATGACAACAAGATTGCTTTTGTCTATGACTACTTGGACCAGTTTTACAATGATAAACTTTAAAATTTGGAATTGAAGTATCAGAAAATGAGTCCTGTACAAGCCTCTCATCTAGAAATTGAGAAATACAATAAGCTGATGTAGCATCAGAAGAATTTTGACAATATCTAACTCCTCACTCAGAGTATAAGCTCACAGCAGTATAAGGCTTACAGCAGACTATGACCACCAAGTTATTTGCTTAATCAAGTAGCAGCTGGCGGGGCATCAATAAATATTGGTAGAGCTAATTCAAATAATATGAGAGAGTCTATGAATATGAGTTAGATTTCAAAAGGCCTCGGCTTGAGTTCTACAGGTCAAATGAGTAATAATTCAGGCTCTTATAAAAAGCAAAAGCAAAGTTTTCTGATTGATGGGGAAGGACTGAATTTAATATCACTTGATAGAAAACCTAAGACCCTCTCCAAAATAAAGATTCATAATATCAGAATGTAGAGAGTGAAAAGAGATAATAGTGACTATGATACCTATGACTCAGATGATAAAAGCTCTAAGAATCCAGCTCTTTTAAATAGCAACTTTGGACTATCAGGAAGTATCACTTACAATTAAAATATTTAAGATGGTGATCCTTACAAGACAAATCTTTAGGATTAACATAACATTTCCTAAAAGTTTCGCATCAGTCGAGAAAGCTATTCCATGGATAAATTCAATTAGTCTAAGCCAATACTGGCAAGTATATACAACAATAATAATAGTTATGTTTCAAATACTACTAACAACAGAATGTATTCAAAACCTACAAAAATAATCAAGAATAATTACAGTTATGGTGGAAGTGGAGTAGGCATTAATTATGATAATTATTATAATCCCTCCGACACTGGTTATAACTTTCAGCCAAGATTAAAAGATGAGGATGAAGATAGTATTTTTCAAACACAGCTACCTAACAGCATTTCTCTGAATGACTATAATAATCTTAGGCACTCAGGACATCAAAGGCAAAGAGATAAGCTTCAGGAAAAGGATTCTTATTTCAAAGCAAATAGATCTTAATTCGAGAAAAATGATAACATTATTAATAAGACTAAGAAAAATTTTTGGGCAAAAATCAACCATAAACCAGGATTCCCAAAGCTGAATCATAAACTCCTCAACATTAACAATGTAAGTGTGTAATCACTAGAATAGAATAAAACTAAGCAGCTCTGATATTTGTTTTTCTAAGGAGCCTGCAGCATTCTATAGATACATATTGGTATAAAATTCAATTATTAATGCTTATAATCCTATTATTTTCCTAATATCTTAGCTATAAAAATTATTTCGCTTCTCGGGGTTTTGGGGTTTTGGGGTTTTGGGGAGATCGGAA